AGGACGTTGCTTTGGCAACGCCGCACTTCTGTCCACAGCTTCCGCGCGACACCGTTGGGCGTGCCAACTCGGAGCCATGCTTGGGCCTGGTACGCGGGAGGGGCTCTAACTGCCAGTGAGACTGAGCTGACAGGGAACGATACCCCTGAAATCAATGAAGACTGCCGCGGACTAGCTGTATCCACTTGCTCCCCTGCGGAACTGAGCTTCTTGAGCCAAACTGGCCATGGAATCAAGAGGAGGAGGAGGAGGAGGAGGAGGAGGAGGAGGAGGAGGAGGAGGAGGAGCAGGAGGAGGAGGAGGAGGAGGAGGAGGAGGGGGGGGAGGAGGAGGAGGAGGAGGAAGAGGAGGAGGAGGAGGAGGAGGAGGAGGAGGAAAAGGAGAAGCAGAGAGAAACTGTGGAGGAGGAGGAGGAGGAGGAGGAGGAGGCTTCTTGGGGCCTTCTTGGGGCTTCCTGGGGCCCCTTGGGAGTTTCCTGAAAGTTTCTTGGGGGCCTTTTGGGAGCGTCTTGTGGGCCTCTTGGGGTTATCCTGGGCCGTATTAGGGAACCCTTGGCCCGTCTGACACCTATGGAGGCTGCCTTTGGGGCCTCTCTAGGCCGCGTTGGTGCCCTCTTGGAGCGGTTAAAAGCCATCTGGGGCCCTCTTTGGGAGCTCCTTGAGCCGACTTGGGTCCGTCTTGGGGGCCTCTTGGGCTGTCTTGGAGCTATATTGGAGGCTTCTTGGGCCGTCCCTGGGCAGTCAGAAACCCGACCAGGTGAGAACCCCAAAAATCTTTCAACGACGTTAGCCAAAATCAATGGTCTTGGCCTCCTCGGGCTCCTCAGGAGGGCCTCGTGGAGACCTCTTGGGCCGTCTTGGGGGGTTCTTGATCTGTCTTGAGGATCTCTTAGGGAGCCTCCGGAGCCGTCTTGGGCCATCTTGGCGTCATCTTGGCGTCATCTTGGCGTCAGCCTGGCTGCCTTGAATCCCGTCCTGGAGGCCACGAGGCCCCCAAGATGGCCTCAAGCCTCAAGGCAGTCCGTAGCCGTTTGGACTCGAGGTCTCCCAGAGTGCCGGGCTGCGCGCCTCGCCGCGTGGGCCCGGTCCATGGCCGACGCGCAGCCGCACGCCGTGCGACCGCCCAGACACTTCGCTCGTGGCTCGAGCGGCGGCCTTCAGTAAAAGTGAACGTCGTCGCTGAGCTCTCGCTCATTCCGCCGAGGCCGAGGCACGTTGGACGGTTGGGCTGTGAATATACGTAGAAAAACGCACCTTTTTGGACTTGCTCTCTCGGAGGCTCCCCGCTCGTCAGAGTTGTTCTCCCGGAGCCCGCGCCAGTGACATCGGCGCGGTCTTTCGCGCCTTCGAAGACGATCCGAGTCTCTTTGCGCGCCAGCTTCTCCAGCTGCAGGAATTTGCGGCACAATCTCTGTTGGCCGTCAAGTGCGTGACCGTTACCGCCTGGGCTGACCTCACAGCTGAGGTCATCTCTGCGGTCCAGTCTGAGCTTTCCCTGTGGGCCCCCACTTCGTCTCGATTGCTGTTCGCCCGGAAAGCTAAATATCTCGGAGCCTCCCAATGCCCAGGAACGACTCTCGACAATGAGTGGGCTGTCCCGTTCCAGAAGAGGCGCAGCAGGTGCATTGGGCTCCGTGGTGTTGCCTCGTCCGCCAACGTCGCCGCCGGATTGTGCAACTGGTCGGTTCTGTCGTGCGCGTCTTCAGCGGCGCCGTTGTACCCCGTCGGCGACGCCCAGAGAGAACAAAAAAAAAAAAAAAAAAACGTCGGGCCTGCACAGGGCTCTGCACCTTCCGCCCGACTCCCTCTGCCTTCTCCGAGCTCCTCTCTCTCTTGGCTCGTGGCCCCCCTCCCTTGTCCCTTTGCTCGCTCTCGTCCACGGCCCCGGCTTGTGCCTGGCGCTGCGCTTCGCTCGCGCTCGACTCCCTCTGGGGCCCCATGCGCCGCCGTCTGGGGGGCGCCGCGGAGGCCTCGAGCTTTGCCAGGGGCACTGGAGTACACATGGCTCATTTCCAAGTATTCGAAAGTTCTTTCACTTTCTTGGGGGGCCAAGATCCTTTCATTTCTAAGTGTTCTAGCCTGGGCGTCTTCCTGGCCACTAGGGGGCCAGGAACAGTTAGAAACGAGTACAATTAGAAATGAGCACGATTTGACATGAACGACGTGTATGAGCACTTCCGCTCCGCCGTGCCGATGGCGCACCCCCGCCCCTCCGAGCCGCTTCGCCCTGCCCAGAGCCGAAGGCGAGGCGCCGTGCTAGAGGCCGCCCAGCAGGATCGCCGGCCCAGGCTGCAAGGACTCGACATGCGTAGTCTCAGGAGTTTCGCCTGCCCCAACGAGATCGGGCTCCAAGTTGGGCGTCGCCTGCGGTCGTGGTTCGACTGCCCTGCCCCCCAGGACATGAGAGCAAGATGGGACCCGGCGCGGGAAATCTTTTGTCGGGCCCCTCCGAGCATTCGCTGGTCTTACCTCTAGACGACCTCGGGGAGAGGGGATGGACCACCACGGACCGACTGCACGCTACAGACAGTTTGTGGAGTTGTGTCTTTGGGTGCCCCCGCCCCGATAGAATAGCACCGTATTGAAAGTGCCCCCGCGCCTCACTTGCCTCGTTTGTCGTCCCCGTGCTGTCGTCTCGCCGTGCCCCCTCCTCCATCTAGGGTATCTAGGGCTTGGGCCCCTGTGTGCAATATCCCGCGCGTGTCCAGGAACGACTCTCATATTCTGAATTTAGATGTGTGTGCAAACACATGTATACATACCCATACAGCACCCATACATCCATACATCCATATACCACTGCACATTTACATCCATACATCCCTAACTTCATCCATACATCCATCCATACATACGAACATGTCTGCAATCATGCTTACATTCATACAGACGTGCATACATACATGCACACGTACACCTATACACATACATAACACCATTCATACCTACATACATACATACATGCATGCATACATACATACATACGTACATACACACGTACATATACATACCTACAATCATACATACATATAGGAATACATACATACATACAAGCATCCATAACTACGTACATGCATGCATACACACATACACACATACACACATACACCGACAGACCGACAGACAGACAGACAGACAGACAGACAGACAGACAGACAGACAGGAAGACAGGCAGACAGAGACAGACAGACAGGCAGACACAGATACACATACATACATACATAGTTGCAAACAGACAGGCAGACAGGCAGGCAGACAGACAGACATGTACACACGTGCAGTCACACACATGCGTACATGCATACATTCAGACATACATACCTACATGCATCCATACAAGCAGACATACATACGCATACATACATGCATACATACATATATGTATGCATGCATGCATACATACAGACAGACACACTGACAGACATACATGCACGCGTGCATGCATGTATGCATGCATGCATACATACGTGCACGCACACACACATACATACAGACAGCCAGCCAGCCAGCCGTGCAGACAAACCGACAGATACATGCATACATATATATATATATATATATATATATATATATATATATATATATCGGAGGTGAGGGGGTGAGATCGAAGTGGAACGGAGAGCCCCCCTACCGGGAAATCGATTTCGGTTTCGTGTTCGTGCGTGCCGTGCGGGCGAGGCGAAGCTGCGTGGGCGGGCGAGAGAAAGTCTCCTGTGGCTGAGGCGCGGCCGGACCAAATGATTCTCCCCCGGGCGGCCGGTGGCGCGCGGTGTCCCGCCGGTGTCCCGCTGGTGTCCCGTCGGTGTCCCTGTGGCTGAGGCGCGGCTGGACCAAATGTGTCTCTTCCGGGCGGCCGGTGGCGCGCGGTGTCCCGCCGGTGTCCCGTCGGTGCCCCGTCGGTGTCCCGATAGTGATGGTCCCCGATGATTATGATGATGATGGTGATGATGATGATGGTGATGATGTTGATGATGGCGATGACGATGATGATGATGATGATGATGTTGATGTTGATGATCATGATGATGACGTCGATTGTGAGATCGATAGCGAGATCGATAGTGATATCGATAGTGAGATCGGATGTGGGATCGATTGTGAGATCGATATGTTGATGATGGCGATGATGATGATGATGATGATGCTGATGATGATGATGATGATGATGTTGATGTTGATGTTGATGATGGCGATGATGATGATGATGATGATGATGATGATGGTGATGATGATGATGTTGATGTTGTTGATGATGATGATGATGATGATGACGATTGTGAGATCGATTGTGAGATCGATAGTGAGATCGACAGTGAGACCGAATGTGAGACCGAATGTGAGATCGATTATGAGATCGATTGTGAGATCGATAGTGAGAACGATAGCGAGATCGATAGTGATATCGATAGTGAGATCGAATGTGAGATCGATTGTGAGATCGATTGTGAGATCGATAGTGAGATCGATAGCGAGATCGATAGTGATATCGATAGTGAGATCGAATGTGAGATCGGTTGTGAGATCGATAGCGAGATCGATTGAGTGAGACGTTGGTTCCCCCTCCCCCCTCACTTCCTTACCACCCGCAGGGTGGTCGTATAGGTATATGTATACACCTACATGCCACGTTGCCAAGGAAATGGTCTCGCATCAAGACGGGCACCCATTGAACTCTGCCGCCGCAGCAGCTAGATGCCAAAGCGGCACTGGCCAACATGCCAAACAAGTATTTGATTCTTCCGCCTCCGCCTGGATCGGCTAGGCCTTACCCACGAGGCTCTGAGACCCGAGAGCCCAGAGAGAGCCATGGACTTATGAGGTACTGGCGCTCCTCCTGTTCGCCCTCCTCCTCTTTCTCCTCTCCTCCTCTTCCTCCTCCTCCTCCTCCTCCTCCTCCCCCTCCTCCTCGTCCTCTTTCTACTCCTCCTCCTCCTCCTTCTCCTCCTCCCCCTCCTCGTTGCGCGAGCCCGCGTGGGGACACCCGTGAGCTCTCTCGACCAGCCGAGGACTCGTCCACCCAGCCCTACGCGGAGCTCGAGGAGGCTCGGGCGGCAGGGGAGTGGGCCGACGAGCGGGCAGGCAGCCAGACGCCAGGAGACCAAGGGACTGGGCTTGGCGACGACGCTGTTTCCGAGCCAGCGCGGGTGGGCCACAGGGGCACGGGCCCTGGGTACCCTTCCCCCGAATGCAGGCAGGGGGAGGAGGAGGGGGGGGAGCAACGCAGGGGGAAGCCCACGTCTCCATACGGCCCAGTGGGACCGACAGCGAGGCCTGACCCTCTGTTGGAAAGGACGGCTCATATCTGGCCGAATAGCCCAACACCGGGGCAAGTAGTGGGGGGTGATGGATGGATAGGGGACAATGTGGACTTATGACTCAGTTGCGGTTCTGTGGAGCTTGTGTACACTTCGAGTCAGGGGCCGTCTTTGCGCACGCACGGGGCTTCGAATGATGTCGACAGGCGCTTGCGTAGTGGAAGCATAGAACGTATCGCCAAAGCCTTGGATCTAGTTCTCTGTAGACGAAAAGAAATCGAAAAGTCGAAATACACCTTCGTCCCCGCCCCGCCACTAGAGGAGGGAGAGAAGGATGAAAGGGGTAGGGAGGGAGAGCTGCGAAGGGAAGAGAGGGAACAGGCTGCAGGGTCGGTATTCGACGTCATGCTGTCATGGTGTCTGGTAGACGGAGGAGGAGGAGGAGGAGGAGGAGGAGGATGCGCAGGGAGGAGAAAGGAAGGATGGATGGAGAGAAGAAGAGTAGGAGGAAGAGAAGGAGGAGGAGGAAATGGAGGAGGAGGAGGAGGAGGAGGAGGAAGCGAAGGAGGATGAGGAGGAGGAGGAGGGGGAGGTGGAGGAGGAGGAGGGAGGGGGGGGCAGGAGGAGGAGGGAGGGGGGGGCAGGAGGAGGAGGAGGAGGAGGAGGAGAAGGAGGACGACGACGAAGGGGAGGAGAGACGAGAACGAGGAAGAGGATGGGAAGAAGAAGAAGGAGAAGGAGAAGGAGGAAGGGCAGGAGGAGGAGAAGACGGACACCTCATTTCTGGAGCCCGCCGCAGGTGGCCAGGGAGTACGGCATGGTGTCCTGGCCGCTGGCGCGGGTGCAAAGTGGTCAGGGCGCTCTGCCGCGGAATTGCCTCGTCATGGCGCGGGAGGCTGCGCGAGAAAAAGGCTCGGGCCTCTGTGAGAGGAAGGGTTTCATCGTCGTCGTCCTCCTCCTCCTCCTTCTCCTCCGTATCCGTGTTGGTTCAGGATTCCCGCTTCCTTGGGGTCAAGGTGGACACCGGGGGTCCGCTGCCAGACTTGGGGTCGTGGTGAGCATCTGTAGGAGCACGACTTTTAGTCCATCTCGGCAGACGGGGTGTTGGGTAATCTGAGGCATTTCCAGTTAATGTCGCCATGCCGCAAGCCGCCTGGCCGATGCCCCCGCCAAGCGCAAGAAGAACACAGCCACGGCCAGCAATGGCGTCCTTGGTGTGCCTCGCTCTTTCTCCTGGTCGTATACTTCTTCAAGGCGGCTCGCAAGGACGTGACGACGACCGCTCCAGGTCTGGTCGTTCCGCTTCCGAAGGCAACGATCGTGGCATAAGCCCAAATTGCGCATTGGGACCCGTACATCACCGGATTCATCGATGACAGGCAGGGCAAGCCAAGACAGCTTGTGGCAGTGCAATATATCCTGCCCTTACTGCGACCAGAGCCTTGGATGACGCCCTTAAAAACAAGCCCCTGAGTCAAGTAGGAAGGGTGTGGGGAACTCGGCCAGGCCCGGCATCGACTCCATCGAGCGCTTTTTCCAAGCCCATATAGACACCATTGGACAAGAGTTCGACCGACCTCTCGAGGCAGATTGACCACATTCGTGTTTCTATGGGTGAGGTGTGCAACTGGTTCGCATGTCCAGTCGAGCTCCCCAACCGTCAAGAGTGGGTTCGACCGCACTCAAGCGCGGCGTTGATGGGACCATCCTCGAGGTCGTGGCTTCCGCCGTGGCACGCAGGACCGACGTCTCGATCAAGGCGTGGCTCAAGACAGATGACCGCGGCGGTTCCTCCTGCGGCCGCGTGCCCTTCGGTAGCGGCCTCGGCGGCCCCTCCCTCGGACTCTGCGGCCGCGAAGGTGCACGTGCATGTGCGCACCGCCGCGCCCGCGGAGGGCGCGGAGCGGGCGGCTCGGCGGAGCTTGCCCCCGAGCCCGATTCGTCGGGCAAGCGACCCGCGGGGCCGGGGAGAACGAAGTCCGCGCGGGCCCGCGCTCCCCCCTCGGAGCGGGCTCCCGCTCATCAGCGCGGGCCGTTTCTTGCGGGGGCCTTATCTGAAGGGGAGGGGCACTACGCTGCCCTCCTGTGTCGCAGGGGGTCCGCCGCAGCTGCGGGGCGCAAGCTGGCGCTGCGCGACCTCGGGGGGGTCGTGGTTCGGGCGCGGGGCTGCGCCCAGGGGCTTCTCCGTCTCGGAGGACGCGCTCGCCTACTTGGACCTTGAGTATTGGCCCGCCTCTACCCCCGTC